CATTTGCAAGAAAATCGGAACATTTGACAAAAAAAAAGCAAAATTTGATTTTAATTGACAATGTTATAACAATTTTATTAAATGTTATTACATTTGAGGTAAAATGTGAAATTTTCATAAAAATGCACCATTTGCAAGAAAATTGGAACATTTAACAAAAAAAAAGCAAAATTTGATTTTAATGACAATGTTATAACAATGTTACGAAATGTTACAAAAATGTTACATTTGAGATATAATGTAGCATTTTCCCAAAATTTCATAAGATTTGCTAAATCGGACAATGTTGTAACAATGCTATTCCAAAAAATTGCTCAGCGTAATGCAGCATTTTCCACAATTTACCACCATTTTCCAGGAAAATGGGGAATTTGCATTTTTTGAATTTTGGACAATGGCGCCCCTTCGACCTGTGTATCAATGCTTCTTTTTTTTGTCCATTCTTTATAATGCACATACACTTTATTTTTGATTTCTTCTTTATCCACTATAATATCAATTTCCTCTTCATGTTTACATACCAACCTAGAAAAATCAATAACATGTCGTTTTTTGTTTTCAAATATTTTCCTAATAAAACTACCTGGATTCGATATCGCTAATTGTTGTCTTTTAATAATTTTTTCTCTAATCTGTTTATGTTTTATCCTTTCTCCAATATTTTCCAAATCTTTTTTAATATTCTTAACCTTATTGTTAAGACTTTCCCAATTCTCTTGATTAATTTCTTCCAGTTTATATGTATTAAACTTGTATTCCTCTTGCATCGTCAAATTATTGTGGTTAATAATTTTTCTATTATTATCATATAAGACTTTGTCAATTTGTGATATTTCATCCAACTGCATTGCTATAACCTTTTTTAATTTTTTAAATCTTGTCCTGATCTTTTTACTTCGTTGATAAATTTGCAAAATCTTTTTAAATTCTTTATCACGTAATAGTAGATCATTTCCCGAAACTCTCATTTTCTTAATTTCTTTTTTTGGTAATATTTTTTCCCCTTCCATAAAACAATCTTTAATCATTTTCCACGTGCCTTCAATACCCATATCATATTCATTAGCTATACTAACCTTCAACTTATTTTCTATGATTTCTGCAAATTCTTTCCATTTCTCTTGTACTTTATTTCTGTCCAATATAGTACTAACTTCACTTACATCTAATGTAACTTCTTCTCTCTCCTTTATTTCTTCATTAATATCCTTTAATTTTATTTCTATTAGTCTATGGTCGCTCTCAACAAAATCTTCAAATTCAAATGCCTTAAAATCTTCTAATAAAAAATCCATAGAATCTCTAATCCAAATATAATCAATTCTACTACAATTATTACCTGACTTCCACGTAAAATTACTGTCTACATTAAAACTATTGATGATATATTCAGAATCAATAAAATTATTTTTTAATAACCAATTAATTATTTTGCATTTTTTTCCTTTAACGCTATTAAGACCCTTATCTAAGAACTCTTCTACCTTATAATGTTCATTAAGATCTCCCATTACTACTAAATCCCATTTATCATAGTCACAATCATTCCACTTTGTTAACTTATCTTGAATTTCTTGAACTTTTACTACATTTTCTAATTTTTCAATCGGTCTATATATTAAAATACACCTAAAATTTTTAACCTTATTTTTAAAAACTAGATCCACTTTAATTGCTACTCCTTCTATTCTTTCTATATTTGTTACATGATATGCCAGCAACTTTTTAATTAACAAAGTCACTCCTTCTTTGCTCGAGTTTTCGTTACATGCACTGTAACTGATATAATTATCTAAACCTATAAATCTGAATTTTGCCGCCTCTGATTTAAGCTTTGTTTCACATAAACCCAAAATATCCCATTTGTTTTCCTTTAAAGCATCCACTAATAAACCATATTTGTCCTCTTTCCCTAACCCTTGTACGTTATAAACTGCCAGTTTTTTTATATTTTTGTCTGTTTTAATTTGTTTTTGTATATTTTTATATCTATTTTTATCTATTTTTTTGTTTTTCTTTGTTCTTATATTGATATTATCTAAAATTTCTATATTTTGTTCTCTTCCTCTCTTATTCGAATTATAATGGTCTATTTCCTCCACCTTCAACTCCTCTATGCCTTTCCCGCTCCTTTCTTTTGTCTTTATTGATTTAAAATTATTTGCAACTTCAGTATTTCCTGAAGTTGTTACCTCCATTCTGAGAACCATTCCCTGCATATCGTTGTTGATTAAATCTATTTCCATACCTTTGTTCACGAAATTGTTGTCTGTATTGATGTTGTAATTGTGGATTACCTTGGGCATGAAAAAACCTATTACCTCTCTGATACTCTATATTATAATCTTGTCTTTGATGATTTTGTGATTGAAACTTTTCTTGATTTTTATATCCTTGTTTACCAGTTCCATTGAAACTATTACTGTATTCGTTTCTGCAATCCCTTGCTAAATGTCCAATTTTTTTACAATTAAAACATCTTATTCCTGATCCTTGACCCCGCTGCTTCTTTGAATTCTATTTTCTTTTTGATAAAAAAAATGATGATTTTGACAAAATCTCGCCAAATGTCCTACATTACCACAACTGTAGCATCTCAGTCCTATTTCTTCACTTTTAACTCTTTCCTGATTTCTATAACCTTGCTGTTGAAAATTATTATTCTGACAAAATTTGGCCATATGTCCCATACTACCGCAATTATAACACATGATTTCTCTTTCTTTTTTAATCGATTTGTTAAAATTCCTAATTTGTTTATTGTCATTGTTCTCCATTTCCCATCTATAACCTCTTCCTTCAAATACGAATTCTTTTTTCACACATCTTAACATGTCTTGATTGTTGTCAAATGTGACTTCTAATCTTAGTGTATTACCACTATCCACTAAAAGCCAACTCTTTGCGTTAAAATTATATAATTGTCTCGTAAAACTACTTTCTGTAGTATCTTTATCTACATTATTTATCCATGCTTTAAAAGTTTTGCGTTTCTTTTTTTCTTCTGTACTCAACCTCTCCGGCCAAACTTCAGCTCTTCCTTTGCCAATTTCAATCGACCATGTGTTATTGAAAGTGACATCGGAACACGTTACTTTTATCGTTACTCTAAAAGAATTATTATATCTGTACTCTATCTTTTTAATATGTTGAACTTCACCTAATGTATTAATTACCGCCTCGCATACTTCCTGTTGTGAAAAAGATTTATCTACTTTGGTAAGCCAGATAACTTGTTCATTCAATGTTGCATTTAAACTAATAATGGGTATGAACTTGTAAGGAAACTCTCTATCCTTTCCTGAAGTATCAAGAATTTTTTCTACCTCATCATTACTAGAAACAGCAACTACAATATATGTGCGTCTATACTCTGGTAAGAAATATTATATTTCTGAATTAAATTCTTGACGTAATCTATTTTCTGCTGATCCGACAATTTACCACTTATAGTATATGATCTTATCCCAATATGGTAATGCTCCTGATTTTCCACGTCAGCCGCTCTGTGTATTGACATATTTTTTCCTTTAGTAGTTCTAATACCTTTCATCTCATTTTCATTGGTGTCTGACTTTATTACACAAGAACCAATATTCAGCTCTTTGTGTAGTCGTTCGTTGAATCCTGAAGATTGAGAATCTGAATTATAAAAATTCTGTCCTTCAAAAAGACCGTTACCATTAGAAGCTCCTGAGCGTTCTGATTCATTTGTAGATGTGATTTCCTCTACCACTGAAGTTTCGTGACTAATTAAATAGTCTTTTTTATTCACTACATCCAATAATTTTTGTAGTTCTTGCTTCATACTTCGTTCTTTAATTTCTGTATGTTGTTCCCATTCTTGTCGAGCTAGAACCATTTGTTGTTGAGCTTCTTCTATCATACTGTCTTTTGTTTTATTATATACTAGTTCACATAGTCTCTGTACCACTACTGCTTGTGAGTCCGCTAGTGCCATATACTCTGCTATTCTTTTATCTGTCTCTTCAACAACAAAACCTGCTTTTTCTATAACTTTTTCTTGTTCCTCTTTAGACTTAGACCCGAAGTCTTGCAATAAACTAACGTCTTCAGTTGAAACAGTCACTCCCATTTTTCAATTTTTTTTATTCAAAATTTTGACCGGATGATCGGCAGAAAGAGTTTTTTTTTTCAGTAAAAAATTCTGTAAAAAAATATTTGTATATTTAATATTATTTAATAAAAATTTTATTGATTATAAATGCATTTTAAATTCTGTTTGCAAATATAAAATATACGATTTAATTGAATAATATATACTATTTATCAGTACAAAATATGCAGTTTAAACTGGAAAAAAGTACTGTTTATCAGTATAAAATATACGGTTTATCCTGGAAAAGTATACTGTTCGCAATATAAAATATAAAACAATATACTGTTTATTGGTATAAAACATACGGTTTTTCTACTGTTTACAAGTATAAAACATATGGATGAAACTGGAAAAATATACTGTATGCAAACCGTATATATGATACGGTGTGCAGAATACCGAATATATACAGTATGTGAAAATACTGTAATTATACTGTAATAATACTATAAATATACTGTTCGCAAAATACGAAAATACAGTATACTAACTGTATATATATTTTTTATAGGGATAACGATGCTCCTGATGACTTTAATGCTTCAGAAGATACTCCTGATGGCTTTAACACTTCAGTACTCCCAGAAAGGTCGCAATTCCTACCTTTCAAATTGGATTGTAGTGCGACTATTGTCAAGTCTAACAAAATACACAGAGGAAATAACAAAATAGAATCTGCATCTAAAAGTCAGTCGAATAGAGTTACAAATAATAAAAGACGGATCATATCCACCAATTTACCTGAAAGTAAACATCAAAAATGTCAAGACAGTATCACTAATTTACTTCAACTATCAGAAAGTGAAGAGGAAAAATGTAATTGTAGACTTTTTCCTTTGTTTTTTTTTTGTTTACAATTTTGACTATTATCTTATTTATGATATATTACAGATGATAGCTATGAACATCTCAAAAGCTCAGATGAGGACGATGATGAAGATAAAACTGAGCAAGTCTTTACATCACATAGTGCAAAAAAAAGTAAATGTAATTAAGGCTGGACCAAGCCAATTATCTGTTTATCATAACCCTCCCCCCCTATTTTACGAAAATTAGCCCAGATATTATGCATTACGTATGACCAATAAAATTGCAGTATTTTACTCACATGAACTGAACCTTAATCAAACTTAAAACACCTTGCGAAAATTACGCAAATCTATCCATAATAAGGCAAATGATTCGCATTTATAATCGCATTCGTTACGCGTTTAGGGGTGCTTTTGAATAGCATTCTATGATAAGATTATTCTTTAAACTCAATATGCTTTATCTCTTGGTTCAGGTTAATGAAAGTATCAAGTGTATAGTTCCTGAACACGTGGTAAGCATAGAATCTACAGATAATCAATTCAGTAACCTTTTTGATGCAGTTACATCAGGAGAATATGGTGATAGAGAAGTAAAAGTTTTTATTAGACGGGAAAAGTCTGAAAATTGGAAGGAAGTTGATAATGGGTTAAAAGGCAACTTAGAAATGTTAGAAGTTTTGAGTTTTTTACAAGTCAAATTTAGTATTATTGAAAAAATAAACTCAGATACTCCAGCTTTAATTCAAAATACAGATGCTTTTAATATTTTAATGAACAATTCACGTCAACTTTTACTTCCTCAATGATGTACTGAATACAATCGTTGTAATCAACTTTACAACGAAATTATTGATCTTTTTCGTGATCAAAAAGTAGGCTGGATAAGTGATGTACACAACACAATTGGAAAAACATTTGTGAATCGTATTACAGATGCTATTTGGTATATCGATCCACATCTTTCCACATTGCATGCACGTTCATGTAGTTTGCCGGTCTTTTTTACACAATTAAAAACCTATCAGGATGGGGAAACATACAACAAATTTTACCATACTAGTCATCATAAAAAAGTCCAATTATCACAGCAAAAACTACTTTATCTTTCAAGTTCTCTTGAATTATCTATCAGTCAACCATGGACAAGTAATGATATCTGGGATCAAATAATTTCCGCAACTTTATCCTTGATCCAAACTCTTAAAAAATATGCAGAATATCTGGCCATAAAATGTACCAATATGACCAATCTTCATCATAGTGATGAAAGTGCTCGCAATCCTGAAAATGATTGCATCATGTATCGAATTTCTGCCTGCGAAGTTGAAAACCTTAATGAAAATTACAGCCAGCTAAATAATGTTTTACTTGAAACCCACTTTTAGAATATATTGATATTAAACAATATCTTCCAACTGATGTTATGAAACGATATCGATTTATAAAAGAATTGCAGCTCACATTTCCAATAGGTATATATAGGTTGGTATTTGCTTGATATAATCTCAATTTGTTTGTAAAAATTAATAAACAATTTTATTATTTAGATATTATCAAGGCAATTATTTAGGAACTATTAATTATGTTTGGAGAATTCTGGAAAATGAAGAACAAAATGAAACTTTAAAAGCACGCATGTTGGCTAGGATTAATAAAGAATTACCTCATTATTTTACACGACAAATGCGAAAGAATGTGTTAAACAAGGTAATAAACTAATATTAGTAATGCAATATATTTAATTTAAAGATACTGCATATTATCTCATCATAATTTGTTTTAGTATTCTTATATTCGGAAAGTTACACCAGCTGTATTACGAATGCTTCATTTTGATCTTACTGGTAATGCTGCTGTGACATCAGATGCTATCAGTCATGATGTAGAAAAGAGATTACGATTGATGTTATCTTTGGCAGATCCCAACATTATATTTGATCTACGAACAAATAATGGATTTAAAGGAACGAAATTTAATGTATTTTGGGATGAAATGGATGCTTATTTTAATGAGCAGGTATTATAAATGCTTTTATATTTATTTTATTATACATTCTTTTATTACAATGCATTTATTAAATTATTTATTTATTTAATTTATTTAATAATAGAATTTACTTGCAGTAGATGAACGACGACATGGAACAATTTTATACATGCCATTAGCATTATCTGTTCGTGATCTTCGTGAAATTATAACAGGAAGACTAAAAATTAACTACAATGATCCTCTTCCCTCCACTATTTATATTCCATCAGATGAATGGATTCGACTACAATTTTGTCCTACAAATGCCACTACAACAAGATCAATGCATCACACTAGTCAATTCAATGTTAAATTTAAGGTGCAAGGGCGGTTGCTTCGAAAAAGTAGTGATGATGCACATTATTGTGCAGCACTTTTTCGATACCTTAGAGAATTCTGCATCCAGTACAATCAATAGACTTGCTTAATTTCTGCTGATGACAAACATAAAGTGCCTATTGGAGAAGATGTTGCAGTTTCTACAGGTGTACGAAATCGGCATTCCATAGTTGCACAAAACAGCACTTTAGCTTCAGCTGATCACGATTTTACAAAACTTTCTATAACACCATCAGTTACATTTTTTATATCAATCTCTAGTGAAATTTCTGGATCATTTTATGATGGCCAAGTATTTGTATCCTACAAGGACACGACCTTTGAACCAAGTAATGCCATCAGGCATTCAGCTGAGTTTTTAAATGCACTTAATATTCAATATGCAAACCAAATGATGCCTCCAATCTTATGCCATTATACTGATGGAGGTCCAGACCATCGATGTAGTTATAGATCAGTACAGATTGCATTAATCTGTCTTTTTCTTTGTGGAGATTTTGATATACTTATTGCACTTCGTACTGCTCCTAATCATAGCTGGACAAATCCAGCAGAACGGATTATGAGCATTTTGAATCTAGGTCTTCAAGGCGTAGCACTTAAACGTGATCAAATGAGTCCTGAATCTAAAGCTTTGTTTGATACAGCAAATACATTAGATGATATATGAAATAAAGCTCAAGAATCCAATAAATTAGAATCTGAATTAAAAGAGAGTATAGCAAATGTTCAGAATATATTAAATAATCGAACAGAACGGCTTTTATTAAAAGAAAAGAAATTTAAATGCAATGATTCGGCAAATGAGGAAGCTATCACTGAATTATTTGGAGTAATTACTTATTTTATATATATTTTTTATTTTATATTGATTTTAATACTAATAATTAATTTTGGGTAGTCAATTTGTGATATAGATCCGACTTTAACAATTAAAGAGACTACACAAGCACAAATACGCCATCATTCTGCATTGATCAAATTTATGGATGCCCATTGCCGTACTCGTGCATATAGCTTTCAGGTAATATCACAGCATTTATAAAATTATGTAAAATAAATTATGATTAATTTTTTTACATTAATAATCTATTTTAAAGATAAAAAAGTGCAACAATATTACCTGTTCATATTGTAAACCAATTCACCTTCCGTCATCTGTATTTAATAACTTGAATTTTCTTCCAGATCCAATTCCTTCACGAGGTATTAAAATCTACTATTTGTATTTTTTATTCTAAATCAATTGAACTTTAGTAACTTTATTTTAACACTTTATTTTAACATTAGACAATACAGATCATTACATGCCTTTTCAAAACGTTTATGGAACTGAAACTACTGAAGAGTATAGGCCAACATATATGCAATCACAGGCGAATGCAGAACCTATTCCAAAGTCTATTTTGATAGGAGGGAAAATCCGTGGTTACATTGATTGTGAGGATTGTAGAAAACGCCGCTGTGTTTATAGTGATAGATCTATGAGTCGAGAGGAACAAGAAGATTATCAACAAGCATTAGACTCATATTCATACTCCTGTGGTGCACCAATTTTCCTGATAATCATTATTTGAGTGAAGTAATGTTTGTGCGTACACGAATCAGTTGTGACTCACCAATTGAGATACTGTATTATTCAAGTCGAAAACCAGGAAACTATCCGATTTGTTATTATTATGGAGAAAGTGAAGGTTTAGTGGATTCTTCTCAATCTTTGAAAGAACGTTTCAAACAAATTTATCCATTGTGTGAAGGGTGCCAGGGAAATAAAAAAGAATTTTATACTAAAGGAGAGATTAAAACTAACGGCCGTGCTTCAAAACGGCATAAAACATAAAATTTCATTTTATTTTTTGTACTCTTTTATTGTTTGTAATACAAAACTTTAATAGTCAATTTAATAAAAAAATGATTTCTCATTCGTGTAAGCAAAAATTATCATAATGTTGGCCGATACTATGGTCATGTGTTCTCTAGTGTAAATTTTTTTTAGCCCTCCCCCCCTCTCTTGGTTAACATATGTTATGAGAAACAGATAATTGGCTTGGTCCGGCCTAAGCGTTGTTTATTACTAATACCATTATTTAATAACTATATCATATATCTATAGACAAGCCTGAGGCGTTAAATGGAATGAAAAGTGTCTTTGAAGTTTGCCAATGGCTAATAACAGAAAGGATGGATATATTAATGATAGCAAATCAGATGTACAATGCTATGAATACATCACTAGATTCATCTCATGTAAATATGTCTACTATCCTAATGCCGAAATCCGCGACAGTGTACATGAAGATGAAAAGTCGCTTGCTCGGCTTTGGCATGAAGAAATAAAGTGTCTTTTTCTCAGGTGCAGAGCACCACCGGATGTAGCTATTTAGAGACTTGTCAAGAATATCTTTAATTATGACTTGTATAGTAACAATGCAGAAGAAGTCATTGGCCACTCTAAACGCGTTCTAACGGACTTCCGTAGCAAAGTAAATAAAAAAATTGATACAAAAGTCCATGAATTTAAAGAAAGCTGACTAAGAGCAGGACAAAGAACCACGCCAACAACTACAGAAATTGAAGAATTTATGTCTCAAGAGGTTGTTAAGCAGTTGTTATTCAGATATTTAGCGACTACTGACAAAGCTAAACTTAAAAAATGTGGTATTATGGAACGACTCGTATTATTTGTTGTGGAAGCGTTTAAGGTACATTATGTTAAATATGATGTTAAAACTATCAAGGATCTTGATAGGATTACGATGGAATGCAAAGTGCCAAGTAGATCTGGTAAAAATATTGCTTCGAGACTTTCGTTAGAATAAAGAAAAATATTGAAGAAATCAGAAAGACAAAAAATATTTTAAATTTTATTATTTATATATTCTTTACAAGCTTTTCAATATTACATTATATTATATTCTTCAAAAATTACATTTTATACATTTTTTTTAATTATAATTGTCATTTCTTCCGATTTTTTTTTTTAAAAAAAATATCTTAAAGCAATTTTCAAATATCATAACATCGTATTAGGTAATCAAGATTATCAATTTCACCATCTATTAATTAATAAGAAAAAAAATGCATAATTTACTTTAAAAAATGGATCCTTTATCGCATCTATACAGTTAGCGTGAAGTAGTAAGATATAAACTAAACAAAATTTTTGAAAACAAGTCTAATTAAATATTTTGTTTAAAAAAAAATTTAATATATTGCACTTCTTATCGCCTCTATATAGTCGACGTGAAGAAATAAGGTAGAAACTATTTAAAAAATTGCCACTTGCATGTGACCATAGAGTCATGTGATAGTCACATGCAAGTGGCACTAAAGCTGCTAAATCGGGGGTTTCAGTAAAGTTTGATTGGCTAATCAGAGCAATCATTTATTTGTTTTATAACGCGTATAACTTTATTTCATATTAAATAAAAATATAATAAAATAAAAATTAAGTTTCTTTATTTAACAATTTGAAAATGACTTTCCTTGGAATGTTTTAAGCTAGTTTTTGATCTTTTTTTTGTTACATTGCATTTCTCTAGGAGTCTGTTTCGTCTCAAAGAAGTACCCCTAAAAAAAAATTAATGGAAGAACGTTTCTAAACAAAAAAAAATGAAAAAAACGGAAAAAGCACTCACCCTTCTTCTATTTAGTCCCAGAAGTGTTCCTACAAAAACAAATTATTAGAAGAATGTTAAAAAACGTTTCTAAAATGAAACTAATGAAAAGAGTGAAAAACAAGACCCTCTTCCCTTACCTTTCATGTTCAGGAATCCATTTCACCTTCAGGGGACACCTTCAAGAGTTTTTCTAAGAAAAAAATTAACAAAAGAATGTTAAAAACGTTCTTAAACCAAAACAAGCAAAAAAAAGGAAAAAAAAGACTTCCTCCCTTACCTTTCATTTCCAGAGGTCCATTCCGCCTCCAGGAGATGTTCCTACAAAAAAAATTTAATAGACGTTAGAAAATGTTCTTAAACAAAGCAAACAAAAATTGACTTACCTAGTTGCCTTTCACCTATTTCGCTTCTAAAAGGTTTTTTTACAAAAAAAAAAATTAATAAGAAATGTTTTTAAACAAAGCAAATGAAAAATAACGAAGAAACACTTACTTTCGTCCATTTCGTTAAAACGTTTCTAAAGAAAAAAAAAAATAAAAAAATAAAATTAAAAAAATCGACACATAGCCAATCGAATTTAATTAATTTTAATAAGTCACGTGGAGTGCGCACATGCGCAGGGGATCTAGTTAACATTACCGACACACATTTTACTGACAGATACATTTTATCAACACTCATTTTACCGACACTCATACTCATTTTACCAACACTTGCAGTATTTATTACTATTCACTAGTAAAAAAATGGTCTATCCTACACATATCCTACACTGGCTACACATATCTTACATATATCGGGTACTCAAAATGTAGAAAATCATACACAAATAATACACATATCATACACATATTGGGTGCTTATATATATAGTATACCTATCAGGTACCTGATATATGTATGATATATATATTAGTACCCGATATATATATGATATGTGTATTATTTGTGTATGATTTTCTACATTTTAAGTACCCAATATGTGTAAGATATGTGTAGGATAAATCATTTTTTTACCAGTGATTTCACTACCCACTTTAGTTATGAAAATTAAAATACAAAAGAATCTTTTTTTTACCATAATATATAAAGTAAAGTTCATTTGTACTTGAAAAATTTTTAATAAACAAATTACAAAAAATTACATATAAATCAAAAACTATTTACTCTTATTTATACATATTTGATAAGCAGACATGTTTAAAATTACAGGTTTTATATATTTAAAATTGTTCTTATAATTTGCTTTTTATTTATTAGTTTAGACCTTTTTTTGTTATTAGTAAGTATTCTAGCTAGAGTATTTCAAAATGCTAATCGAATATAATAACAATAATGTACTCAATCATTTCAAATAATAATAATAGGCAAAATGTATTTGACGACCCTGTCACCATGGCGACCCTCACTGGTCAAAATTAATACTATCGGGTACCTATCGGGTACCTGATATGTGTACAATATATGTGATATATGTGTATGATATTTAACAATGCTACACATATCAGGTACCCGATATGTGTAGTAGAAATGTAGAAAAACGGTGACACATCATGTAC